CAGCCAGCTTTTCGTTTCCACTAGGACCAGAGCCTCCATTCATTCAACCGCTAGCACCAGTAGACCCTCCCATAGCCCCGTTAGCCACCAGCTTCTCCGGTGCAAATCCAAATCCAAGACCTCTCTACAATGATCTACATTTTCTCTATGCTTCCACAAGATCTAACAGAAAAAACCATATCGTGTTTGTAAAAAACGTAAATTAACAGCTCATGAATAATGGGTGATAATCTTGACTTCTAAATCTGTGATCTTTTCTATTCAAATCCTTTCAAACTTGTTGTTTGTCATGTTTCTGCCACGTGTATGAAGCTGCTCTAAACTTTCTTGGTGCGCTTGCAAAACAGATATTTTTGCTGCATGATATTAAACTCAAATTTACCAATTCGACTTTTGTTTGATACCATTTGATTCCGAACCACGTATCTAAGCATGTGCTTTTCATGCTCAGATTTCAGTCTAGTCGTTTACCACTGTTATTTCCATCTTTCGAATTTGCAGTAAATATCAAATTTATTTTGAATGTTAAATTTTGAAACTCCTCCTTCCTCATGTCAATCTTCTTCCTGTCTGTGTGTAATCTAGTCATAACTCTATCATTCAAGAGCAATCGCATGAATGATACACAATGAGAGATTGAATGGTAATGTGGCTAAAAACTGAGTCAAGATTTCAGCATACTTATGTGCAAAGATTGTGTTATTTTATCATTTTCATTTCCATGTTATTACTGATATTTCGATTTTAAACTACCACAAGTTGAGAGATTAATAATAATTCAAAATTACTTCAAAAAATAATTCTTTGTCATCTTGGATTTGAGACTACTTTAATTATGAGAAGGATTCGATTTAGTGAAAGGATAGGAAAAGAATTATTATCTTTGTCTTTGATATTAAAATTTTTTTAATTGTGTATGCAGCAAGAATAAAAAACTATGTTAATACATATTGCAATTTTCATTGTGTTCAAACATTGGATAAATCTTTCAATTCGTAATTTTTTTTGCAGAAATGTTGATTGATGTATTAATTTTGAATTCGAAACAGACCTTTCATACTTTCCAATTTTAGTAAGAGTTTTCATAATTTCAATATAAATAATCAAAGTAGTTAATTCATCACAGTAAAAAAATGTTATCATACCGGAAATGTTCTCATAGTTAGAAGTTACAGAACGTACATTCTATTAGAAAGAAAAAATTGTGCATTTTATCAATCATCTCATATGGGAAAGAAACCAATAGTAACTTTCCTCTTCAAGACTAGAATCTTATAACACTATAAAAAGTGTTACAAAATCAATATTCTTGAACAACACTAGATACTGTTGGATTTTAGCTAACATGTATAAATTTGATTACAAAACTTATTTTTAGAGAGATGGAGTATAGAAGAAGTCATAGAGAAATATGCTTGATCAAAGTATGTCATCTTCAAGACAGATTAAGTGTGAACAGTATGAAGAATAAGTTTGAGCTTCCACATCCATTAAATTCAGATTACAAATGAGATTCGTATGTATAGATAAATGTAATAAATTTCTCTTAATTTCAGAATTTCTTTTTCAACTCTCACACCTTTACCATTTGGAAGTCAAAGTTTCATGCTGTCATTAATCTCAAAAAAAAATCACAATTTTTTAATTGAATGTGATAGGGCAATTGATTGTAGTATCAGTGAAGATTATTTGAAGTTTTGTATATCCTTTCAGGTTTCTATCTCAAAGCCATTCAAAGATAATAATTTGAAACTGGTAAAATTTCTATTTCTATTTCTGTTCTAGATTATGTTGACTCCTTTCCTACAAAAAAAAATGATCTAGAGAGTCCATTATAATTTCAAAATTTGATTATGAAAAATGTGTCTTAGTTTGCAAGATATTTGGATGATGATTCACTTGCATCATCATTTCATTGCTGGAGCACTGACTTTTGTAATCAGACTATGGAATGCATAACTCCATCACTCACATGGAATTTTTAGAATCTCAATCCACTTCCACATATCAACCAAAGTGATAAGATGATTGTTTGGAGATGAACAAGAATATATAATTTTGTAGATAATGTTGAACCAAGTGTAAGCTCTTTAGTGGAGGAGTTCATAAAGTTTTCGTTATGAACTGTATAGTGATAGCTCAAAGTATAGTGGAGATGACCTCATTCCATACAAAATCTAAACATTATCATTCTAATTTCAACTAAGATAACTGTTCGCGCTAAAAAATGAGAGAAAAGTTTAAACAAATAATAAGATAAATCCAACAATTCAATCAAGGTTATTATTATGGGTTGGGAAAAACTTATCAATGATGTTTCTAGGCCAGAACTGAACTAGGTATTGATTACAGTACTTGAAATGGTTGGTTTTAGATTTTGACAATTGGCTACAAAACTTCTTGAGGGCCTAAGCAATATTTGTCTTTCATTTGTTGACTCTCCTAGTTCTGAATTAGTCACACTCAGTCATGTAGTTCCCGGATCTGCCAGTGTAAATTCACAGTCACTGGGGCGCTCTATGGCCGTAGCTAATCTTAGGTCCGCAAAACGAGCAAACTTTGAAACGCTATTTATATCATTCGTCAGAAGAGTCATATGATTATCCACCATCTGATATATGATTCTTTCCTAAAGAGATACAACCTTCTCACAAGAGATATTACTCATCTTGATAAAATGCATGTTGAAACAATCGTAAGAAGTGTACAGAAGCCTACGATTTCATAACTATGTAGATAAAATTTCAAGATAATCAACCAAGAAATGTTTTTATTATTTACTGTCAGACCAATTTTGAAAATTGAATGAAAATGTTATAAATGAATCAAAATGAGAGACTACCAATTATTAACTGCAGAGACATCTAGGGAATTTTCTTTGTATAGTTAGGTCCATGTTGCAAACTACATCACCCTTCCTTGCAAATGACATGAGGCAATTCTGAAAAATCTATCACACTTGATATGAGCTAGCAGATGAAGACCGAAAACCAAGGACCAATCTTTATTTTCACTATTGTTGGAGCTTGATACTAGTATTTTTAGAATTGATAGCAATGAAAAATTCCAAATCCGATTTGAGAGTCATAATTGGTACTTGATCATCAGATAGGTGAATAATTATCTTACAGTCGATCTGAAACAAAAATATGTACATAATCCTATGCCTTTTAAAATTTTCTTTTACTCTGAGGTTAATGTAATATCCGTGCACAAAATGCATATGTATACTTCATCCCGTGTTTTCTAAGCTTAATTATTCACTTCAATTTCTATAAACATAAGTCAAAATTGATCAAACAAGAAAAAATATCTTGTATATATGAAAATGTTTACATGGAACGCATTTAGCTGAACTAATTAACAAGGAATATCTCAAATAAATTAAGAGATGATATATGAAACAACACTCATCGCTATGATTCTTATCATGCAATCTTGTGATACGATAAGAAAGTTTTTATCTCAATAGACCACAAGATGCCTTCGGTTACGTTTTGGATGTAGTACGTGAAAGGAACAATGCAAAAACCTCGTCACAAACATCATGTTTCCATTGCGGAGTGAAAAATGAGATTCTTAGCCCAAATCTGTATTCGACATAGGTAGTACTTCAGATTCTATAATCTACTTTTTCACAGTATATGAATATGTGAACTTAAAATGTTTTTCGTTATCATTTGCTCTATATACTTGTCATACCACATGCAAGTATGATATTGAGGATTGTTAACGACACGAAAGAATTAGGTGTGATGAAAATATACTGGTGTACTGAAAATATATATAAAGTTGTAAAGGCATTCAAGTAAGTTTATGTTTTCTTAAGATCTTATTCAATTCAAAAATCTATATTTAGCAACATGTTATAAACTATTTGAAAAAAATGTATAAGATGTTTAATTTTGAATTTTAGATTAGATTGAATTTTTATGATTTTTTTATGTGAAAAAAATCAAAACTTGTTCCCAATACTGGATACATTTCAATCAGTCCTGGTATGTGAGTACAAAAAAAGGGCTCCTTCATGGTAGTTTTGAGGATTCATGTGGATCATATTCAAGATTAAAATGTACGATGAATATATTTGTAATAAATACTATATATAATGTAAATATTTATTCAATAATAAACTTGTCTGGATGTGGTGATCCGTTTTCAAAACACAAATCATTTTTCGTATAATTCAAAAAAGTGATAGCAGACTACACATACATATATAATACAGGTACATGTATAACATGATTTCCTCTATCTCAGAAAAGTGTTTCACTCCAAATCTTAGAAAAGAAGTTGTTGCAAAACTATCAGCATCTCATGACCCACTTTACACTTAACACTATCAATGAGTCATCATGAATGGAGAGAAGGATTTGAAAAACTATTTCCAAAGTAGAAATGAAACTTGCAGACTGAATTTTATTTCAACCAGATTTGATTTTAATCTCGGCTTCTATAGCATCGAAATATGTGAAAACACGTCTTATACGCACCCGGAACCTAATCCTCATGCTTGTAAATCATGCAACTATGTTAATAACAAAACCTCTACAAGTTCAGGGGATTGATTCATAGAACTATTCAAATCAACATGTTTCTATTGTCAAGAAATATAGTTCAGTTGTCAGGGTTGGATTCAGATACTCATACAGTCGTCACATGCACATTTTTAAAAAGCGACTCATGAATCCGTAATCTAACCAAGATAGTTTACTGACATTTTGGTCACAACCGCTCAACCGCGTAGAATCCAATTGTTTCATTGTAACGACTCATGGGTCTACGGCTTTAACCCGGCTTAAACTTCTGTTGGACAAGTATCTGTAACTGGGTGTCTGTCACAACGATTTATTGAAACTCTACATGATAGGAATCACGTGTCCATCACACATCTCAGCATCGTTTAGACAATTTCTTCAAAGCATCAAATAGATTGATCATGCATGTTACGACTTGGACATACCGAACCTTAATTTTGAGGTGGACATACGATGACACAAGTAAAATCATTCTATAAATATTTGATATGCACTCAATGGAGTGCACCAGTAACAAAACCTTGGATTTCAGTTGGAGATACTATGAACAAGGGAAAAACACCTAATTAGTCAAAGTGTCACTTACACAGTGGCATTCCAGTGATGTTCATACCAGAGCATCAATGTTAGCATCACACTATCGGGTACATAAATACAAAGCGCTACCAATTTTTAGAAAAAAAAATAAGAGCAGTGGGTTGGACATCCATCTTGAGTCTAGTCACTAGTACTCCGGGAAGTGGCCACGAGATGCGAATCGTCATCACCGCTGTCTACGTTATGGACGCTTGAAGCATCGTCCTCACTGTCATTCAGACCCACCCAATGCTTATTACATGAGGCGGTGGATTTTAATTCGTCGTCTGGATTGGAAGATTCCTTGACCCGCGAGCTACAATCTGGAGGGCCAAGTCTACTTGCCTGCGCATTTGATTCACAACGCTCCATCAACGAGGATTCCTCCACTGGCCTGTGGCATGAAGCCACTTGCACTTGCAACTGGGTTTGGCCGCATCTCCTCATATTCCTCTGCTTGGCGATGAATCCGAATCCGGGGGGTATATCATCTTCATGAATCAAAGCTTTGCCTTTGCTCGCCAACCGTCGGGGGCTCAGACTCACGTGAAACGAGTGCGAATACAATGGAGGAGCATCAAATACGACGCAGGTATCGTCAGTCTCCATCCACTGTCTCATCCGAGACTGAGCGTCATCCTTCTCAGCTCGTCTGCGGATGAGTATGCCCGCTTTCCTCCGCACGGGCGATGAACGGGAGTTTCGGTCCGCTCCAGAAGACATTCGGGGAAGCTGTGGTGTCAAGCACAAGCTTTCTTGAGCTTGAGTCTGAGTGGCACTGGACATCCTCCCCAATTGAGTGTGACGAATGATACGAGTGTACTCCTCGTCCTTCGATGCTTCCTAAATCCTCCTGAGAGAGTTGAATGAAGCTTGAACTCACATCAGATCCTCGTGATGGACGATCCTATATATCCATCCGCCTTAGGCCCTCAAACGCCATGAACGTTCATGCAAAGAAGGTGTAGTCAAGTAGGTCAGACGCAACGAACACGTTCGACTCCACGAGAAAAAGTTCCCTTATAACGTCGAGATGGGCACTTGGACATGGTCCTAGGGCACGGGAAGTAGGTACAGCTCACCTAATGAGCTCGAGCATTTTTCCGATGTCTCCATCAATATTGATTTTCCAGTTCATTCAATCCCAGTTGTCACATCTCTCTCTCTTTCTCTGTGTGTGCCTTTTCAGACCCAGTTGTCCACTTCATGTTTAAGCCCTCTTGGCTCATCCTCCACGCTCATCATATTGTAACGGCATGACACTTCTCTTGCCCAATAAGAATAATGCAATTCCAATTACGTTTATCTGATTGATGAATATTGAATTTAAGCAAGTTTAGGTTTCACCTTGATAATTGTACCTTAAACTTATGCGCCAGTAACAATTTTAATTTCAAATACAGTCCCCATTTTTGTAGGAAGACCTCCAGAGTTGAGCTGAATGAGTAATCTGGAGATCTTGAAAGTAGATGCAAGGAGAATCATCAAGCAGACATGTAATCCATTCAAGTTGAGAGGCTTGTAACAGTAGCGCATGGTAGCGTCAAAAAATACCTCATAAACAGTACTCAAATTCAGCAAATCTCCGACTTTCACTATAAACTTAACTTTTACATGGTTTAAATGTGTCAATAAAGTGGTTCAACGTGTGACCTGCACAGATGGAAGCTTTTGTGGTTCTAAATTTTGATAACCCACTGGTGTTAAGTGGAGATAGTGAAAGTTGATATGCAAAATGATTGGGCCACTGGTTCAGCCCAGCAATTTTGGATGTGAGAGTGATGGCGTATGTTTCCTTTACTTTCTGTGATGAAACTGTATCTTTCGAAATTTCCGCATTCGCAGCATGAAAGGACAATTCCAATCGAATTGCAGCTCGAATCACAACAGAAAATTCTGTGAAAGGCTGCTGCGCTGGTGACCCGTCATCCGTCTACGAATACAGGTAACCGTTCGACATTTCAGTTCACTTCGGAGGCTACCATACGATCAACTTTAACGAAACCGGTAGCTGTCAGACAACAAAGTTACAATCTTGACGTCAATTTGACTGAACGGAACCAGGTGACAGCTCAGATGAATATAATAACATCTAGAGCATGCCTACGTTTCATGCCATCGTTCACACCTTAAGTTCTTTGCATAGTTTTATATTTGTAGTGGTGTACCGAAGAATTCCGTGGAGAGGGAGATTTTTCAAGTCATTTTCAAAAACCTTGTCATATTTTGTAATTTATTTTTATTGTTTATGAGATTATGTCTTTGTTTTTTAATAACTTTGGTACAGGATAGTAATTTTAGTCACTCTCAATACAGTTAATGTGAAAGTAATATTTTAAATCAAGGTTATCACGGAAGCAATAATGAAATTATCAATAATGTAATGTTGGTTCAACCTTGAGAAAAAAATGTGTTGGTAAAGCTCTATGATAAATTCTGATTTCATCAACTAAAAATGAATAATCAACACCGAAAGTTGAAATGAAGTTACAGTATATCACTAGTTTACTAAACTATTTATCCAATCAAAGTATAGATGACTTGACACATCGATAGACCACAAAATTAAACTTGTTAACAAAATAACTTATTTGATAAAAGTAAAGATGATTGAATAGATTACTACATGAAGTTCACTTGCTGAAAAATAACTAACTTGAAGAAAATAAAGTATAGAGTGCTGCATTAATAGAGAAAGACATGAAATTAATTTGTTGACTAAATATTTCATTTGATAAAAGTAAAGATGATTGGATAGATTACTATATGAAGTTCACTTGCTGAAAAGTAACTAACTTGATGAAAATAATGTATATCTCGTGTTGCATTAATTGAGAAAGACATGAAATTCATTTGTTGACTAAATATCTCATTTGATCAAAGTAAAGATGATGTGTAACCATCTTTAGTTGATTAGAACTAAAATTAAGTTTAGTCGTATGAAATTATTGTTATTTTAGAATGCACTAATCATTGATATCACTTCAACGATCCGAGTGTTTGCTAGGTAGACAATAAGCGTATTAGTTGACAACGTCACATCAACTTTCCGTGTGCTTGGTATGTAGAGAGTAATTGTATCAGTTGACAGCGTCACATCAGCATTCCGTGCTCATGTGACGCTGTCAACTAATACAAAATAAATTAAAGGTTAGGTGTGTTAGTTAGTGTGTTAGTTGATAGCATTTCTTATACTCAGTAGGCAAGTATTGAGTGTGTTAGTTGAAAACATCACAAATACTTGATAGGTAGAGAATAAATGAATTAATTGACAGCGTTTCATGTGTTTGGCAAGTAGAAAATAATTATGTTAGTTAACAACGTGAACATTTGTTATGTAAAGATTAAATATATTAATTAGTATGTTAGTTGAAAACGTTACGTTAGTATTAACCGTCATGTCATACATCCATTAGAAGTGTACTGGATTGTGAGTATAAGATATTACCTCCTTGTTCATAAAATCTATATAAGGGAAGGAATATTCATTGTTGAATCTTTCATCTATAAATTTTATTTTATCTTTTTAGACTTTTATCTTCAAATGCAATTCACTCTAAAACCGTATGTTACATACTATAACACACGGGTAAAAAAAACAACATGAATGGATTATGTTAATAGAAAAATTATTCTATCAAACAAAAGCTAACAAAAACATAGATTAAGTATCACATTGACGTTCAATAATGTTTGTTTAACATCTATATATGAATATTAAACATTGCAGATGATTAATTCATCATATAAAAATCAAAGACGTGATGAATTGAAATAAATCATTTTCTTTGTCTTAAATTAAAAACGTAATAAACCATATAAAACTTAAATTTCATCTCTCAAAATGTGAAATTTTGAATTTTTTTTTGCAGTTCAAAATTTAGAAATCAATTCAAATTTCACGCTATGGGAAAAAATCTTATATTATTTGATAAATTTCAATATCTTTAAATTTTGATGTATATATGTTTTATTTTTAATTGAAAATGTTGAATTCATTTTTTCATCATATATACTTTTTGAGAATAAATCATTTTTAATTAAAGCTGAATTGATAACTGACCTCTATTTTTAATTTTTAATTTTCAGAAATTTTGAATATCTAAAATCATATTTTTAATTTCATGAGATTCTGTGATATATTTTTGAAAAGCAGATATGTTTGATGTTGAAATCATAATTGTAAAAAATGTGAGATAAGCCATGAAGAAGTGATAAAAAAAAGTCAATAAATTTTATCATTTCTGGTATTTTAGGCTTATAATGTATAAAGGTATTTTTCTATTTCTAATTTATTATAAAATACCAAAAAAGTATTAGAAAAAAACTTGATTTTTGTGGAAATCCCTCCTCAACTCATTCTCAACGCAGATAATTCACATATATGTCCAAATCGTGAATTGAATAGAATAAGATGAATTTTGAGAGCAAGATTATAGCTAATATTTTAGAGAAAATTTTTGTTACATATTTTTCAATTTCAATCTCTAAAGAAAGCTTTGTAAAATGAAAATTTTGAGTGATAAAAAAGTCTTTTCTGTAATTTGAATGCATTTGCACAATAATTTTTAAGAAGAAAATTATGCATGTTATGAAATTAATAATTTAAAAAAGGTTGAAAATAGAAAATGCTGAAATTATTTTTTTACAAATATATTTATAAAAAAAAATCAATTCATATGTGAAATGTGCGCAAGACTTAAAATCAAATTATGAATACGAACATAAATTTATGTCAGAATTCAACTCAATACATACAATTTGATGTAAATTGACAGTCATAATTATTTTTAAAAATCGTACTATATGAAATAATCATACTATAGGACTGGGCGAAGCTAGAAACGAACAGTTTGCTAACTTCGCCCAGCTCTTAAGAGCTACTCTTATTACAAAGCATAGCTATGACTGGGTCTTCAGAGAAAGTAATAAGAACAGTCTTTCCAGCATTCACAGGTTGAACCACAAGATTGTAAGCCGCAAGTACCTCGCCACTCTATACTTCACTCTTTCATGAACGGGCTGGCATCGGATCACACCTTCTACTACCTGAAAGTTGGTAAATCTGGTGGGATTCTCGACATATCAACACAAAAAATTGACCTCGTCTGGAAACTTGTTCGTCAAGGTCGAGTACCGGTACACTCTACTTTCACAAGTGTTCATTCTGTAAATCTACGCTCGTTTCCATTCCTCCTACTATCATACCCTGGACGGGCAATTCATGATTATGTCGAGCACTGGACATCTCGAATGATCTGATTCTGTTAGGTAAATGAATAAGGACCGCCAAGAAGAAACATCTCCCTCTTGAACTCATAAATCCCTGAGGAGTCAGATGACATATGGTATCGATCCGTAGTAGCCAGTGAGACTTTTCTTAGTCCATGTTTTCAAGTTTGGCTCCTTCCAATGTGGGTTGAGCTCTTTTAATTTGATGGTCGAATGCCAGTAAAAATCCCAGTTAGTGTACTACCTACGATGGAAAATGGAGCCATGACGATGTGTGTTGTAAGTGCTGTGTTCAGTGTAACAATATCTTCCGACAATCATGACTTCAGAGTTTGGCAAAGTTTGCAAATATCTGAGATAAGTTCAATTTTTCCACCACCTGGCATGGAAACTATGAACTTTTAAATTACACCAATCCAAGGCCGGCAGTGGAAGAAAGAGGGCCAAGTGGATAGTAAAAAGAGATGGGATCGACCCTTCAAGGCCTACAAGGAAGAAACTCAAGAGTACACTTGGGGCTAGCCCCAAATAATAGCACAACGAAAATTTGAACAAAACCTACAATTGTACACATCAAACTCTCTATAACAACATAGCATGCATTTCTCTATCATGATATCGACAAGTAAGAAAGTCATGATACTTTCTCACTTGTGTATTCTAATTTTCTCTCTTGTGCAAATTACCACGTACTTGCATTTATGGACAATGAAAATTTTCATTGTCCATAAATGAGGAACAGTAAGATACTGTACAAAATATACTAGAGGA